TTATAGTAAAACTAATATAGTCTCTAGTTTAAACTAGGAATCTATATAGTTTAAAAAAACCAAACCGGAACTAGGGAGCTAGTTCGCCGCTAAGAAACTAAACTATATACGTTTAGTAGTTCGCAAACCGAACTACTACGGGGTCTAGTAAGAAGTATAAATATCTCTTTACAATTATAGGCTTATTAATTTTCTAGGTTTTGCTAATATATCTTCGTCGCCTAAACGTATATAAAGATACCTTTAGAACTTAGAATAGGGTAAGAGTAAAGCAAGCTAAATATAGAAAGAGCCTAGAAGACTATAGCGAGAATAAGATATTAGAAAAGGAAGACTATCTATAGTATATATAAAGGAAGGGTATTCCTCGGAAAATAGTACTTAAAATTAAGAAGGCTTTTAGTAAATAGATAGGAGAAGGCTAAAGCGCCTAAAAAAAGTAGGCAGACGAAGACTATTATAAAGAAAAGTTATTCTTCTATAAAAAAAGGGTAAAAGGTAGGTTTTAACGATAAAGAAGCGGCGCTTTAAACTAGGTACTATTACCCTTCGCTAGATCCGGCTATTCTAAGATAAAAGAGGGACTAAGCTTTCAATCTCTAAGACTCCCTTCTAGCGACTCGTCCGAGAAACTATATTAGATTTTAATTCTAGTATACGATTTACGGCTAAGGCGGTTAGTACTCTTTAGGAAGCTACGGAAGTATTCTTCGTAACCGAGTTTAAGCTTTCTAGCCTCCTTACTATCTATACGAAGCGGATTACTCTTTAATATAAAGATATATAGCTTCTAGCTAAGATTTAGCGTCGGGTTATAGCGGATTAATTAGGATTTGTATTTAGTCGTTATATTAACCTAGGAAGAGGCCTATTTTCGCATCCTTTTACTAGCTATAGGTACTAGCTATACTTCTAATTTTATCTCCGCGCCGTACCTAAATCTAAGGTACGAAGTAGAAATCTAGCGCCTTATATTTACTCGGTTATTACAGAGACGAGCTATATTTAGACTAGTTTCTTTCTATATTCCGACTTAGCGGATAGTAAGCGAAAGGACGATAGAACGTTTATAATATATCTCTATTTAGACCTAAAATACAAAGGTCCTAAGGAGCCCTAGTATTCTAACTATAAGGAGATTCTTTAGTATTAGTACTTTAATCCTCTATACTACGAGGTAGATAGCAAGCCTATAAGAGAGAAACTTTAACGAGAAATTCTCTATAATACGTAGCGCTATTATATAGCTATAGATACGTACTAGGTCTAGTAACTCGAAGAAGAAGTAAGATATCCCGGCTTTACTCGATAGCATTCGTAGTCTAACTATACTAAGAAGCAGAACTAGATATAACTAAAGGGGAAGAAAAGTCGTTATACGAGCCGGGTATTATCGCTCGCCGCTACTCGTATAGCTAGGGCGGATAAGGAAGAAATCGATAGTATATTAGTAGAGTCGAGCGACGACTCTACCTAGTATAAGTCTAACGAAGAAGAACGTATAGCGTATATAAGAGACGTAAAGAAGCCTCGTTCCGAGATACTAGCTCTACCTCCCCGCTAAGCTTACCTAATCGTATATAATACGGTCTTATAAGCGAAGTACGAGATTATATAGGCTCTTAGTCGTTTAGAGTAACGTACTATATAAATAACTAGGCGCACTACTCTTATTTACTTACGACCTATATCCTAGGATACTCTTCTTATACTTTTTTATATACTTTTTTAATACCTTACCTATAAGCGCTCTACGATAACCGAGTAAATATAAGGTATAGGGTTTCTACTTAGTACCTTAGCCTTCGAGATAGGGCGGACTTAAATTAAGAGGTATAGCTAGCACTAGTAGCCGGTATATAGAGATAGTAGTAGGCCTCTTCCTACTAAATAGCTAGCTTATTTAAAATAGCCTACCGTAGTATAGATATTAATTATATTTTCTAGTAATAGGCTTAGGTTACCTACGAGATTACTATAGCTAGTAGCTCTAGCCGGGTATTTATAGATAGTTAGACGGTATATAGTAGTATTATAGTAATAACGGCGGAAGGTATCTAGTTAGAATTTCCTAAATTCTTCTTATAAAGCGAGTCGCCGTTTTACTATCTAGCGGATAAGTATTTCGACTTCTAGACTAGGAAGCTAGTTTAGAATCTAATCGAATTACTAAAGAATATCTATATTATAGTAGGATACTACTATTAAGCTAACTATTTATTACAAGGAGGCTTTCGCCGTATTACTATACCGGCTATAGATACCGGCTATATTTTAAAGTTTGCCGTACCTATCCCTTTTAGCCGTACCTACCCTTTTAGCTATATCTACCTTCTTTGCTTACTCTAACGTTACTATAATATAGGCTTACGCGACGCTTACTCTTTTACCTAGCAATACCGCGATACTACCTCTCTCGCTATATATAATCTTCGTATCGATACCTATATCTCTACGCTCTATATCTACTACTTCCGCTCTATCCTCGCTCTACGCGCGCCTTCTTATACCTTCGTAACGTACTCTTTTATTAATTCGACGACTTTTATAATAGCGAGTCTACTTAACTAAGTTACGACGTCTCGTAAGAAGGGACCTACTACTACTATAGGTCGTAATAAGACCGTACCTACTAGAAAGAGTATAGTATATCTATATAAGAAGGCTACTACTACTACCGCTAGCTCTAGTACTAGAAAGCGCGTCGTAGGTAAGGCTCTATATAAGACGACGACTAGCGCTTCTACTACTAGTAGTAACAATTATACTAAGCGTCGATAGTACCTAGGAAGTAAGTTTTATCCGTAGCTAGTAGCGTAGCCGGTAGCGTAGCCGGTATTTTTACTTATTTTTACTAATCCTTCTTTAGGCGTAGCCCTTCGTAAGATTCGGAGGTATTAGAGTATTAGTAAACTCCTAATCCGTAAAGCTCCCTCCTAACGACTTATTCGCGAAATTACCTAAGGTAGTATATTAAACTATCGCTTTTAAGCCTCTATAATAGAAGCCCTTTAGGAGGCTATAGAAGCCTACCTAGTTCGTATCTTCGAATATATATTTCTCTTCTACCTCTTTTTAAACTATACTAATACTATTTTAGCTATTAACCTTATAGCTATCTACGCAAAGCGCGTTACAATTATAGATAAGGATTTCGAAGTCCTCGATTAGATTCTTAAAGGCTAGAATATCTATATTCGAGATAGCAGTAGGTAGGTATTATCGTAGAATAGATATTTTAGTAGGATAGATATTCTTAGTATCCTCTATAAGCGTTTCTATATATAAAATATACCGCTATTATACGGCGCTATATAGCGCGCTCTAAATACTCTCTAGATATATATATAGTATAATATATAGTATAATATACATTATTAGCCGTACGGAATCGAAGTCTTCGAGAATTCTATTAGTACTAAGGAGTAAAAATGCCGGCTACGCTACTAGCTACGCTACCGGCTATACTACCGGATCTTACAAAGGGCTTGCTTTAAGTTACGTATATAATCCTATACTTCTTAGAAACCGATAAATTCTATAGTTCGAACCTACTACTTCTACAGTTGCTTAGTAAACTAACCTAAACTAAAGTAAAATTTCGGCTTAGCAAACTAAAGTTACTAAACTAAACTAACCCGAACTACTACGGGGTCTATATTATACGCGTTCCGGATAGTACTTACTATACGCGTTCTAGATAAGACTTAGTATAAGCGTTTCGAATTAGAATTACTATATAGCGCGTTCTAAATAAAACTTAGTATAGGCGTTATAGATAGTAGTACTAACTATTAGCGCTCTAGATTAGACTTGCTATACGCGTTCCGAATAGTACTTAGTATTATAAGCGTTCTAAATTAGAATTCCTGTAAGTGTTTTAGATTAAAAATACTATAAGCGTTTTGGATTAGATTTACTATACGCGTTATAGGTAGTACTTACTATAAGCGTTCCGACTCGGAAAGAACTACTTACTATAAATATTTCGTATTATACGATAAAGTTATATAAGCTACTTCTAACTTAGGGTTAGGAGCGGCGTCGCTTTTTATAATAGTTATAAGTCTGGCTTTACGCTTCCGAGGGATCGCTAATAGCGATATAGCGTAGTAGTTATAGCGTAAAAGCTAAGAGAGAACTAAGCCTATTTAGGGCCTATTTAGGAAAGGTTGCTAGTACTTCTATTATACCGCGAGTAGGAGTATACTACGCTAGTAGCGGGATAAGGATACCTAAGTTAAGAAGACTTCTTTACTTCCCTAAAGTAAAGAAATAAAGGAAGTATTATACGATAAAGTTATATAAGCTACTTCTAACTTAGGGTTAGGAGCGGCGTTACTTTTTATAATATTTCGAATAGTACTCGCTATAGGTATTCTAGATAGTAATTACTATAGGCGTATTCCGGAAGTAGTTACTATAGTACTCGCTATAAACGTTTCTAAATAGTGCTTTCTAGTACCTATAACGCGTTCCGGATTAATATTACTATTAGCGTTTTAGATATAGCTTACTATACGCGTTTCAGATTGGGCCTGCTATAGGCGTTCTAGATAAGATTTTAGCCACTCGTCGCCTTAGGCTTCTCGTGTGGCTCTTCGAGCCACATAAGCACTAGTGAAATGATAATAAGCCAAGCCCCATTCCCGGCTGTTGTGTCGAGGGTAAGGCGTTGGTTTTTCCGGACACGAGGACAAACACATAGTGCCTACGATCGCCAGCTCCAGTACCACAGAACACAATAATCTGACCTCTACAGTCAACATCGACACAGCAAGAACACGATGCGGTCTATACTCACCTTCGCTGCGACTATCGCTCTCGCATTCACCGCTTCGGCAGATGATCCAGCTCCCCCCTTTGATTCTCTATGCAAATGCAGTGATGTCGCTATTTGCAAATCGGATGGAAGTTTTGGATGTTTATCTGACGGAGCTCCACTCTGTCTCGTCAAGAGTTCGAATAAAGCCTGTCAGAAGAAGTGCACTATTTCAGGCATGAGCTATGAGTATACAGAGTAAGTAGCGTGTTTGCGAATTTTGGACTGGTTCCTAATATAAGATATAATAGCGCAAGCGAGGGCACCGCCTGTATCTGCAGCAATCTCGATGCTAGGAAATGTTAGGCGCCGGTGGAATGGGGGACGGAAAAATCCTGGCATTCAGTGCTGTTCTGTTCTGCTCAACAAGTGCTGCTTCGCAAAGACGTCTTACTAGCCGTACGGTGTCTAACACAGTTCTGATGTCTCACATAATCTGATATTTGATCAAGATTCACGGTCCTTCTGCGAGATAGATCTCGGATTTCATCACTTAAGAATAGCTGGTTGACCTCGAATGTGCATCTCAGCAAACTTCACAAGATCACTACTCATCATGAACAGTAACCCTACACTCCCATACGAGCTCAAGCTAATGATCGCTCCCTCTCTGGTGCCCGGCATATGTAAGCTACGACGACACATTGCAATACGCCTCCTTCAGCACCAGCGATTGAACACAACGAAAATACCTCCGCCTCCTGGCATCGACCTCGATTTTCAGCGCCTCGCACGCCATCTTATGGATCATACGGAGTGGAGCCACTTCCGTGAATGGATACATGCAAGTATCGGACCATGTCTTACTGACTTGGCATTCTTCAAAATAGTACGAGACGTAGAGCGGAGTTGGCTTCGCGAAATGGCAATGGACTATCGTGAGTTCAACCACTTCTGCCGTCGGTCAGACGATGAGCAATACAGATGGCGGACCAAGCTTGTCATAGAGCTGTTCCCATCAGCAGATTTCAGTAACCCACCAGAACAGCTGAGCAACGCAAATCTCGTCAGACAGCCGTTGACGATGGCAGAAAAAAGGATACTCGCACATCGCGATCAGTGGTCTTCATCCGGCCACCGACCCCAAGACCCAAAACAGCTTGATCGCCAGATCTTTCAAGGCCTGACTGAGATCTGGCTAGATCTGATCCGTACCTCAGGACTTCCTCATTTCGTTCGGCATGTCTGCGTCATAGCCAAAGACAATGACAGGCCCAGCCCAGCATTCCGTGCCCGTGGAGTGGATGGTCGCGCACTGGGCAACATCACGAGTGCTCTGAAGCATCTGGTAGGAGCTCACAACGTTGTTACCGTCTTCTAGGGTCATTGAGGACGATCTGCTGCGGCCACGGTGGACGAGCTCGAGATCTATGCTCGCAGCACCGCCCAACCGAGCAAGCCCGTGTAAGTACGGAAAGAGAGAAATCATAGATCAAGGTGTCAAGGCTGGTCCTTCTCAAACACCTTCTCTGAATGCAAAGCTTTCTTCCGTACAACATCTCCTCACGACCTTCTCCCTCTTCCTGCCCTACAGCACTCCCGCCCGCCCAGACAAAATTACTAGCTCAAGCTGAAATTCTTCTTCTCATGCTCCATAATAGCCTCCACCTTCTGCGCGCTCGCCGAAGTAGGATCAAACTTATATCCAATCCACTCCTTCGCCAACCTCCTCGCAAGCTCAATACCAACGACTCTCTCACCCATACACAGCACCTGAGCATTGTTACTCAAAACCGCTCTCTCAACACTGAAACTATCGTGCGCAGTGACCGCTCGGATCCCAGGAACTTTGTTCGCGCTAATAGCAACACCAAGTCCAGTCCCGCAGATCAAAAGTGCTCGGTCCGCCTCGCCGCTCTGGACCAGCTTTGCAGCATCGACAGCTGGGTGTGGGTAGGCGGTCTTATCCGAGGACTCGTTCACGCCGACATCGATGACCTTGGCAACTCTTGGGTCGGCTTCGAAATCTGCTTTGATCTTGTTCTTGTATCCACATCCTGCGTCGTCTGCTCCCATCGCGATGACGAGGCCTTGGGTGCCGGTTGATGCCATGTTGTTTCAAAGCTGACTTGTATCGTATTCTTTCGATAACTCTTGCTTGGGCTCGTCGGTCACTGGAACTTCTTTCACTTCAGGCTCCCCTTCGCTCTGTTTCCGGCTCTGGTATTTCTCAGGATCTTCTGGGTTCCCTATCACTTCTCCCTTCACTTGCCAGTGAGTAGGTTCTCGCTTGTCTACGACTTTCGTGGTGCCTGTGTTATGGTCTACGACTTTTTGGTAAAAGGTGTCAGAATGGATGTTTGAAGAGGTTGAGATCTTTATACGCTTGTTGGACGCCATTTTCGGCGACCGACTGCATGGGGTGATCTCTGGTAGTGACTTTCAACAATCTGCCATGAGCTCCGTCATTCGCCTGTGAGGGGCGAGAGGTACGGGCGGGTCGGGATCCCGTTTTGGGGAAATCTTCGGGGAAAAGATGCTCCGTCTCGAGGTGTGTGGAGGATGTCTCCATCTTTCTTCCTCTTCATCACACACTCGTCTCGAAGGCGGTTACTCCAGAACACGAGAGCTGCGGCGCACGAACGTCTCTGAAATATTTACGAAGGGAAGCTCGGCAAGAGGAGGAATGGGATCCAGACGGAGATTGGTCCGAAAGAAAGAGCACAACAGGAGTGCTTAAAATTCGATGACAGTGCAGCACAATATCTGAATCCAGGTGAATCCGCTGTTGCCACGTAGTGATTGACCTCAGCAAGTCTCTCACACTCCGGTCAGCATACTGGGCTTCTCAGCAGTCTCCGGCGTCGACGGCAGAACTCTCTCGGATGTGCTTTGGCTGCTTTGAATGAAGCTCTGTTCGGAATAAATGTGCCCATGAGGATCGCGTAAAGACATCGGGAAGAGCCATCCGACGACTGGCTGCGTCAATCCCGTTAGGATCACGGCCATGACCACGAAAATGGTGAACGTTTCCTGCGAAATGATGCCAGCTTGCAAGCCAATGTTCTATCCGAGTGTCAGCTTCGCCATGGAACAAACTTTGAACGTGTCCTTACCAATGCTATGAGCTCAACAATGCCTTTGCAGCTCATAAGCACGCCGATCGTCAGACTTTCACGAGTCTTGATCTTGCACAGCTTCGCAGCAATGAACCCGCCGACGACCTTTCCTACGAAGGCGATGAAACAGACTGCTGCCACATACCCCCAGTCGGCGCCACTGGTAAGACCAGAGATGTTCGTGTTGATGCCGCAGAGCGCGAAGAATGGTGGCAGAAGCACATTATAGACGACTGGAGCGAATCGAATTTCTAGCTTCTCGTGGTAGCCACCCTCTTTGGGCACAATAGCTCCGGCCATAAATGCGCCAAAGATTGGATGTATGCCTGCTCGGATTAGCAGCAAGACGTCGTGGGCAATAAGAATACTTACCAATCATGCCGGTGAACAGCGCCGAAACCAATACTAGCAGCGATATTACAGCAAGCTGCATCTCGGCAGGCTTACTGGCCTCAGACAGCGACAAACGCACAAAGCGGTGAAGTAGTGGCCGGATGCCGTATACCATCAACAAAGCCCAAGCAGTGCAGCAGAGGAGCATGTAGATGGCTACCTGCCCAGAGCTGGCTTGTGCGAGTGCAATGCTGACACCGAGTAGAGTCCAACCAACTACATCATTCGCAACACCTGCAGATAATGCAATCAAGCCCACTGGTGAGGTTAGGAGATCGAGCTCCATCAGTATTCGAGCAAGCACTGGAAAAGCCTGGAGTTGTTAGCACAGCGTTGCACGGAGAGAGGAAGATGATATGTCATACAGTAATCGCCATTGCCAGTCCGACAAAGAGCACGAACACCCCAAAGCTCGCCGCATTCTCATTCTTCGATTCGATGTGGTGATAAATTCCAACGGCAACAGCAACGCCAAGCCCAAATGGGATTACAATACCAAGTCCCGCTACTGCCGTGGCAGATCGCCAATGTTTACGTACGACTGTAAGATCTGTTTCAAGGCCGACGAGAAACATGAGGAAGATCAAACCGAGCGTAGAGGCTGCGTCAAAAATCGGCTTTGCTGAGGTGGGGAACAGTCTACAAAACCTGTCAGAGCTGGACACACCTCCAGAAAGATCCAAAACTCACGTGTCCATGTAATGAGGAACATGACCGAGCACTGATGGCCCGAGGATCAGCCCGCCGACGACTTCAGATACGACTCTTGGCTGGTATAGTCGTGAAAGGACAAAATGCACCAAATGCGATACAATCAGTATTATGACGACCTTTAAAGCTCATGTCAGTAAGTAGTATCAATACGATCGCACTTGCATTTGCTCGATTCCAACCGTACCTGAAACAAGAATAAAATGATCGGATTCGAAGGATCATATTGCAACGGGCTCTGGCCTTCGAAAAGACCTTTTTGTGAAGATGCCATTATTAGTACAAAGTAGCTTGCTTCTAAAAAGTTATGATACGAAGTGTTGCCAGACGTACCTGTTATCGACATCTCTAACTTCCGAACCTTAAACTTCCGAGCAGCTTTAAGTGCGCTTCTCTTGACCGACCAGTTCAGCCCAAGCGAAGATACGTTCTGTGTATTCTTTGCCATGTCATGTCATCGGTTGAAGAATTGTGAGAAGTGCTGCTGCCCAGGAGGACTTGAATGGTTCCGACTTGGTGAAGTGTGGTTAGCGTGGTGCTGAGATGTGGTGGAACTTCGGCATTCGTTTTCGCTTGACATTGCATTAACAGCAGATCTGAACTGCTTTACTTGTGCACACTTGATTCACATCAACGTAGTTGAGTCTTGTGCATCCTTCAGCGCGTCTGTCCACGCCAGTTTCCCTTTCGACAAGCCTCCTCTCCACCGCTCGCTGCCAACAGCACTTTGCGTGTGCAACTCTTGCGAGACTATTCGTGGTTGTTGCCTGTCCATCTAAATCGGACTTGTGTCCGCCAGACGGTCCCCGAAGATATCCTCTTCGTCCTCTTCCACATCACTATAGCTGATGCGCTTGCGCTTTTTCGCAACGTCGGAAGACTCCTCCACGTTTGCGTCAGGATCGCGAAAATCCGATCGCGAAGCACGAGGGAAAGAAGAGAATGTTGGCACGTACAGGTGTTCTGCCTTGTCGCCAGGCTCGTCTTCGAGGGTGCGGGAAGTGGCACGAGGAATGTACTCGCTGCTCCCAGTGATGCGTTGTGCGTTGATAACATGCATGATGTCTTCATCACTGACATCGTTGACGGCGGTCCGCGACGGCTCGACACCCTTCTGATCAGCGCATTGCTCTGCATTCTTGGCCTCGCGTAAGATCTCCTCGTCATTGGTGTCGTTCTGTGGTGCACAGGGAGTCTGCTCGGAACGTACTCGGAGTTTCCGAATTCCACGGACCGTCTTCACAATCATCTTTCCCGACCGTAGAGCTTTAACCTCATCATGCGAAAGGACATGGGTCAGCCTAACAAGATCAGAGTCCTCGATGCCACGAGGATAGTGCGCATACGAGTCATTGCGATGTGAAATTCTCATATGCTTCTTGAGAGCCTCGCTTTTGAAGAAGGATTCCTCCTCACGTTTTGGATTATTCGCGCCGCAAAAAGGGCAGAACATCTCATACCAACAATTTTCGATCAGTTCGACGTTGGTGAATCGCTTATTTATGTAGATGTGTCCACTGGATGCGAATTGGTCCTTGGCGAGGATGATGTGATCTTTCCATGTAGCTTGACTCCATTCAGGATTCGGAACCAGGCCCGGACGGTGAGAAGCTGAGTTGTGGAGAGCATCTGGTATAGCGGGATTTATGGTGTTGGAGCTGGATAGCTTCGTGCGCTTTCTCGAAGGTGGCTGCGGCAGCGGCATCTGTTGTGGCCTTGACTCCATGCTGGTTTGCGTGGTGAGCTACATTCGACATGTTAGTGTAGGTCATTTTCAAGTGCGAAACGCCTGCTTGCCTGCCGGTCCTGCTTCCTGATCTCCAATTGCTGCGACAAATTCTGCTCAAGTCTGCTTTCTTTCTCAAATTGCTGGTTCTCGGCATGCGCCAATGCGTCCTTGTGTTGGGTGACACGAGCCTTTGCTTGCTCGATTTCTTGCTTGAGGGCATCTGCCTCATCTAACAGCCTGAAAAGATTGGCACGGAGAGCATCAGACGCTTGCTGTTGCCGGCCGCGCATCATGGCGAGCCTACAACGGAGTCAGCATGTTTAGGCAGGTGACAGGGCCATGACTGACGTGAAGTGCAATGGCGCGGTCAGCGCTGATACCGTGGATGGATTCAATGGGAGGATCCTGATGACCTTCTCGCATCTGCCGTGTTGGCGCCGACCACACCGGAAAATGAGGTCCTTGACGAGGAAAACACGAGAAACGGCGCACGCCTGTTTTGAAATTTTGCGTAGGCCCGTGCGTGAGCTTCGCCGTCCTAAACAAGATCAGCCAGTTCAGGGAGCTGCCTTCAGCTTTCACAAATGAAAGTCGAAGCCAGCATGTGAAATGCCAAGCCAGTACCTAGGTAACACATCACGTCTCACATCGCAAGGAGTCATGAGCCCAGCTCATGAGTCCAAGAGCAAAATATGGAGGAAAAGTGCTGCAATTAAACCCGATGGTGATCTGAAAGATATGCGAACATAGTCTTCAAGGACATCTTCTCGCAATCCGTCAACGTCAAGCTACATCGCCTTGAAACAGTATCCTCTCACATGGCAAAGCGTATCAAATCTCTCCTCAGAAAAGGTGCTATGACTCCTTCTTATCCTCTTCATCTGTCAGCTTCTACAATAGCTCCTCAACGGCACGAAGATCACTCACAAGCCACGCTTTCCAACACAGCAGTCAAAAGTCCCGGCCTCTGCGCAATATCTCCCACACTACTTCTCAAGATGCAAGTGCTCGTCATGGAGACAACGGTGGCAGCTTTGCAAGGAGCGCTGCCTTCCTGATGCTCAGAGCAAGACTTGGCGCAGGCCTCAAGGTTGCTGTCCTGGACGTAGAAGCGGGTGACTTCATCTCCGAAGTAGTGCGTGTCGCACTGGATGTTGTAATTGTAGTTCTTGTCGCCAACCGCAATCGTTGCGTTCGTGTTTGAGGCCGCTGGACATGACCAAGTTGTCTCTTGGGCTGAGACGGCAGCCAGCAAAAGCGTGGCGGGAAGAAGGGAGAAGAGCTGCATTTCGTACTGGACTGGTGTCCTACCAAGTCCTTTGTCTGTACTGATCAAGGTGCTGTTGTAGTCAATCTGAACTCCAAACAAACCGAGATCTCGCCCAAGGATGATATAGGACGCACTACCGTTCTTTCTTTAGAACACGCCATATGCCCGATGTCGTGCCGTCAATTTGGTCGTGCTACTCAGCTTCGTATTGAGAAGATCTCGTATTTCGTTCTTGCCTTTTCATGAAGCCGGTAGCTGCTCTTGGAATGTCGTACATATATCATTGCTGCAAGGTCTGCCTCGGCCTCCGTCGCGTGAGAGGTTTCTTGTGAGAGCGCGAGATGCCATTGCAGGCCCACTAATCCTGATGTGAGTCCTCGAACCACTCAACGCTATTATCGAGATGCCTCGAGAACTTGATCGTGAAAGATGCGTTGTTGTCGCGTTTGAGAGCTCCTTCTACAACAGAGATCAGAGCACGGTCTGATTATTTACAGGAGGTAAGCGTTCCCATATTCTATTAGTCATCCCCGCTTGCCAAAGTTAATAGACTGTCCCTTCCGTAACAGCTTGGCATCTCCGGGCCCTGCCATCATCCTTCTACACTTCTCTCACTCCATCTCCACTCTCTCTCCGTCAAGAATAGAACATAGCAACATGCCAATATGTATCGAGTGCCGGTATCCAGTGAGCACACTCTACACAACATACAGCAAAGCAGATGATAAGGCGCTTGGCAAGGGAGTGCGATTGACACAATGTCCGCGCTGTAAGCGCTTCGCGGACAAATATGTCGAGCATGACTTTGTAGTGCTATTCATCGACTTGGTCTTGATCAAGCCACAGGTATGTTTTAAGAGACGAAGTTCTCAATTACATCGGAGCATGGGACTTCTCGCGCAGCAAATGCTGAACCGCGGTAGGTCTACAGACATCTCCTTTTCAACAGACTTGGACGTGAAGATGGGAGATTTGATGTAAGCGTCTCGGGAACCACGAGAAAACTTCGAACATGGACTGATAAGACAAGCAATCGATTGTCCGCCTGGGCATTCTTCTACTCCTGTTCGACGTCTATCTGACATGGGCAAGAATTGAGAAGGCCACTCCAGCATCACCAGCACTTCCTCTATCGCCACCTCCACCTCTACCTCCGTTTCCGTCCGGAGACAGTGGCTCCAGCAACTCGTCCACGCGTGGCAACCAGACTTTGAGCAACTCAGACCCAGACAATTCTATCTTGGCTACCCAGCCCATATTGCTCCAGTATCTCTTCTTCCTCGCTCTCTGCACCTTGGAGACAGTATCTTTCCATGCTCCGATCAGGACTCTCTTGTCGACGGAATTCCCGCGCCCGATTTCAGCGCTGATTCCACATTACCCGCATCCAGCTCTCATCAGCACTGCGCTACTAGTCAGCAGTTTCACCAAGCTCTTTCCGCTCATGCTACTTGTCTGGAACTACGATCTTCCAAGCAGTGCTTCGGCAGTTTCCTGGGCTGTCATCATCAACAACATCGCGGCATTGGAGATTTTGCTGGATTGCGGCTATGTGAGGGCGGCATTACTGGCGGCCGTGGGCGCGGTGTGCAGGGCGGGTATTGGATGGGTGAGTAGCAGAAGACTGGGTACCTGACATTTGCTGACTTCTTCCCAGGGCATACTGCGCGCGGTCGGAGTAGGTGGAGGAGTCGCCGCAGCCGGAGTGGTGGAGACAGGAGATCTAATCGAGGTCTGGAGAACGTTCATGGAGACTGTAGGACTTGGATGAGGAGCCTGACACGGGCATACCATTACATAGCATACATCATCGAGCCTGGGCATCTGTCACATGGCATCTCATGGGCCTGATATATTGCTTCGCTTGTCTTACTCCCGATGCTTCTTCTCATGCTCTTGCGCATCTGTGCTCATCTCTCGCGCTCTTTGAAATCCTACATCCTGTACAACCCGTGCTTCCCAAAACGCCATGTACGCCTTCGCCATTCCCATTCAAGCTGCATCAAAACCTGCTTCCGCCCTTTACCGGTCCCTGATTGAACTCGGGTCGTAGATCGTTTCGTTCAGGCGAGATGAGTGGATGCCATTGTGCGAGGAAGGTTATGGCTGTTGTCTGGTTAGCTTGCCGGCTGATCGCACGCTGTTGCCATCGAATGCGCATACCCCACATGAGCCAGCAACTTGCCGCTGATAGTATTATTGTTGAGCGCCAGACACTGTCCATCTATCAGCACTCGCGCGACCAGTCTTTTCAGGTGCCGGTGGACGCACGTTTGGTTCTCGCCTTTGGGACTGAAGAACCAGGCTCCAGCTGCGACAGCTAGCACCACAATGATGCTGATCAGGATGCTCCAACTAGTGGCGATGTCAGCACGTATCCTAGAATCCAGCGAAGAATGCTCACCCGTTCGCCATTTGGTCTTTAGCCGAGACTCAGTGATGTTGCTTGAGCTGTTGCAAGCAGCTTCGAGGTTGTGAGGTCAATGAGCCGGCATGTGCACAGAACGTAACGGGGCTAGCTCCGTGCCAAGACTCGGCCTGCATCTCGGATGCCTGACTTTCCAACCTCACATTGCACCCACAACACAGCACATTTCCTCTTTAGCAGAGGATCGCGACGCCGCGAGTCGCCAGCTTAGAAGGCCTGTTACTTAGGAGTTGGAAGACTTCGGAAATACATATGAAACAGGCCCAAGTCAGTTCGGGCGCAGAGAGGCCGGCCGAGACTTGATTTCACGCTTCCTCCTTTGCCTATTGTGCTTGCTTCACCATCTTTCTATGACTGACTATGCATTGCCTGAGGATGTGAAAGGTCACTATATTTTCTTGATCGGTACACGCCTTTCCACTGTCCAGCCCCGATCCATACCCTCAATGCACCTCGACCATGCCGTAGTCGAAAACTGGCACTCATCACTTCTCCGATGATAATGGCTGCTTGATATCTTCCTTGACGTTCAATGGACCTCACTATCTGCTTTGCTGGTCAGTGCGAACTGTCATCGTTGTGAAGACGGGGATCACGACGTACAACTTGGCCGGACACTGCTGCTGGCCTGACGGGTCTCCTGACGAGACTCGCTCAGCATCTTGGGTGCGTAGCATGCCTCAATCGCAACGTCACGCGGTGCTAAGCCTTGTTCCATGAGGCCAATATCCGATGCGCTCACTGGACGCATGATGCAGCAAGTTTCTGCAGTTGGAGCGAAGCTACCACGAGGAAGGTGACACCGCGTGTAGTGGAATCTCAGCCCACGAAGACCTTTGAACCACGTTGAAGTTTTCGACTTGATGTTGGCGCCACAGCCTTTGCATCGGATTTCGTGCCACTGGCCGTTGATGTTGACGACGGTTGGGAACCGCCCATGAATCGCATCGACAGGCTTGAATAGCTGGCGACTTGCTGTACCAACGGAGATGAGTGCTTCATCGCCTTCACCCTCTTCCTCCTCGTCACTCTCAATGATGATGGTCTCGACTTCTTCCGTCGGTCGTATCCTGCTTGACGTTGTGGCCATTGCCGGATTGGGTGCCTTCGCGACCGTTGGAAGGCCATGTGGTGGTGCAGCTGCAGTCTCGAGGCCATTCTGTCTTGTTGAATCGCTATCACGAGCACCCGTGAGCGCCGCGATAGCCTGTTGAGTTCTTCGATACTCTTCGTTGCGCTCATGCACCTTGACACGGATCGAACCCTGTTCTTCAACCAGAGCGTTCTTCTCTCGCATCAGCGCTTCGTACTCATTCTTGAGCTGCGCGAGCCTTGAGTTGATCTGACCCCATCTTGGTCTATATTGTTGATCCTGTTCGGCGAGCTCATGCAGTCTGCCTTCGAGCTGGGCGACGGTGCTGTTTGTGAAGGACAGGGCTTGAAGTGATCAGTCAAGGCCTCTGTACACGTGCAGGTGCAATGAACAGCGAGACCGTACCTTGCAATCGGATTGGCTTGTGCTGCCGCAGTGTTCAGACATTATATCTGTCTCGACTTGCAGCAATGTCTTATCCGCAACGACTGAAGCTGTCGTGGCTTGCCTTTGACGGAAAATCGATGCTAGTCGAAATGTATCTGCGGGCACTCGTCATTCCGGAACAGGCTAGAAAGCCGTTAGCTTCGCGCATATATAAATTGAGCTCAAATCGCTCCTGCAGCACCAAAACATTCAACTTTGAGACGCGACATTCGAGCGCCACAGAGATTTGCTCGCCATGGCGCTTTCAAGGCGACCGTCGTCTAAAGACCTACTGGCTCAGGCCAACAAGGCTCGAGAAATAATTAAAGCGCAAGAAGAGGAAGAGCGACGACTCCGCCAAGCAGCCGAAGAGGCAAAAGTACAAGAAGAGGAGGACGAGCGTCGCCACAAAGAGTTACGCAACAGAATTGCTGATCTCCGCAAAGAGAGGGTGGCGAAGGAGTCAGCGATTGCGAAGTACCTAGCCGAAATGGACTCCCTCGACGCAGATATTGAAAAAGCACAGGCTGAACTTGAGGTCTGTATAACCTACTTCCACCGAAAATGTTGGCATGACTAACACCTCAGTAGAAATACGCTACACCACACCTCGAGTCTGTAGATGAAGCACTCGCGTATAGTCACCAACCGATTGATGACATCGGGGCGGCCCACCATTCAACGGCCGCTACCTCTGCTCATGAAGACACCCAGGGTGACGGTCCCAAAGAACCCACACAAAACGAAACCTCAGACGCAGCTTTTGGACAGCAAAATCTCCAGCAGCCAGGCACGGCGGAATTGGGCGACGAGGACAAAACCGATGGCGTTGGCCGGAGTCCCGAGGAGACCCAGCCAAGTGTCAGTTCAGTCACGCAAGAATCGGATGCTCTCGCCAACCAAGACCATGGTTCTACTGCGGAGGAGAGCGATGACAGTGACGACGATGATGATCCTGTCCGTGGAGGTCCACGACGTGGACGAGCGCGTGCATCTAGTACACCTAGCAACTGTCTGCTTGTCGAGGACGAAACTTCTATTCATCGTTTCTTTCCTATGGTCTTGAGCCTCGATGACCAATGGCACGAAGTGAAATGCTACATTTGCGGAGCGAATCGGCCCAGAGACGACCCTAAATTCTTCACTGCTGTTTCGGAGTTGCTCAAGCATATATCCTTTACTCATTTTCGGGGATGTGAGAAGCGACCGCTCGAGAGAAAAGAGACATTGTTGAGAGGCAGTCAGCGCATATTTGGCCCAGATGATGTTAAGACATTGCAATCAGGCCAAAATCTAGAAACGAATCCAATTGAACCGACGCGAGGCACTGCGATCGATGGCTGCACTGATGGAATGAAGAGGAGTCGTTCTCGTGCGAATATCGAAGAGGAAAAGGTGGAGGAGGATGATTCCCATACTGGGGCCAACACTGCATCCGGACCTACTCTTTCGAGCTCTTCGCGACACAATCAACCACGGGACCGAAGAAAGTCAAGCGGAGATGCGAGCGAGCCTGTCAAGGTCAAGGGGCATGCAGGTTCATCAGTCGCCAGAGCAGCAAGCAGCGTTCGAAAGCCATCACGCCTATTGCCACCAAATTTCGCTTTCGGAGCAGATCTCATGACCGGTGATATAGCTCCACAGCCTTCCCCAGGCCTTGCCGAGGCTCCTCAGATCCAGCATCCCAGCATCATCGAACTTGTGGAGAGTATTCCGCCTGGGCATTCACAGTCGTCTCCACGAGAGGATGCTATTGCCTCATCCCCCACGACTACCTGCCGAAAGCCAACTCAACACCATCTGGAGGCTTCTCGCCAGTCTCTCGAAGTTGAAGAGAGGCGCGAAGAATTACCCGAAACGATCCAAGATCATTCCCAAAACGCATCTGGGCTCACCCAAAAGACACATCCGCCTCCTGTAAGCGCATCACCGGGAAATGTGTCCCGCACAGAATCAGTTGCAAATTCTGGGAGCAGTCAGTTGCCGCTCAAGCTAGATGCTGTAGCCGCTACCAGCGTACGGTCAAAGAGCGTTGAGGCATCGTCCAGCCGCACCTCAGTAACTCCTGGCATCTTCTCGGGGCGTAGCAGGCCACCTTCCCAAGAATTGCAAGATGCACACGCGCAAGGTTCCGCAAGCAAGACGCTTACTGACAATCCAATATTTCAAACACGTAAGGAACCTGTCGAGTTGTTTCCAGGCAGGCTGAAAAGCAGCGACCGTTCAAAAGCAGAAGCCTCGTTTGGCATATCTGCAAAGAAGCGGCCGCATGGTGACGTTAGAGGCGATCCTCCGGCTGCACTAAATCTCTCGATACTACACTCCAGATACCCGAATACTGCGCATCTTGAGGGCAATTGGTATCTGATTCGTTGCAAAGTATGTCATGCAAACGCTTCGCGGACCGAGTCGGGCGAGCTCATGTTCTTCCGGGGCATCGAAGGCTTACAGCAGCATGTTCGGGAGGCCCATCGTCTGGAAGGTGATTATTCGGCTCCAGAGATGTGGTGCGAGGCTAGCCTCATTCCACGCCAAGATGTGCATCGCTTGAATTTCAACATCGACCTTCCCATCTTGAACGCCCGCTCAGCCGGCAAGTCAACGCATAACCCGGCTTCTGCAGCGCCTCAGCTTGGTTCATCTCCTCGAAAAGCGCAGAACGACCTCAGTCGTGATCCTCGCATGCATGGTCGACCGTCAGGAAGCATCTTGAGCATTGCTACAACTGTGCCACCCGTACGTTCTGCTCGAAGTGCTCAACCTCGCGAGGAGAATTCAACTTCAGGATCGCCAAAAGATCATAGGCTGCAGGCCCAGGACGAGGTATGTGCTGCAACTCTTCCTACCGAGGGCGCGCTCCCAGCTCCCTTTGGTACACAGATGTCCACAATGCCCTTTAACCCACAGCAGCGCGCGAGGTCCACTCCACCACGCGGAGAGCACACTGGGCGCGGCACTTCGAAGTCGCCGCCGTACAAGAAGCAAAAGAACAAAGAGAAGGAATGAGAAAATGGCAGCTTCTTCGAGCGCTCCAGCTGAGAAGACACATGAAAATCATGACAGCTCGCATTGACACCACCGCTACGACTTCTCGGTTAGGCTCGTCCTCGATTTTTGAACATCAGCTCCTCAGAGAGGAGTGACAAGTAAGCCATGCTCATGTTTGAGCTTCGATGAGCTCTGGTCGGGGTGAATCAGTGTTGCCTTGGATAGGTTTGTTTGGCCAGGATGCAGATCGAGTAGCTGGAGCTGATAGCAGATTGGAATTCGAAATTACAGAGATCCTCCATTAAGTTCTTGATGCACCGCGCCAGCTTCGCGTCTTGATGCTTCCGCCGAGCAGCATTCGTTGATGTTCTTGGACCAACTGGAAGAGCCCGCTATCAGATTCCGTGACTCGAGGTACCATGTTATTCCGAGATATCCCTCGATGGTCTTTGTGCACCATCTTGTCAAAAGCGCGAGTTCCATGATGGAATGCGCACTGGTTAGAGTAGCACATGGCCACAGAAGCCGATATCACGGACCAATGCAATGTGACCGGTCAGCAGCAGGAGAAGCCGGAAGCATCCCAAGATCGTCTGAAGAATGTTGAAGATGTCAAAGACGAGATATCAGCGGAGAAAGATTTAGCTTTCGGGATGTAGATGCAAGACGTGTTGAGATTTTGGAGGAAGTGGATGATCAAGCTTCGAGTCCAGCTGAGTAGGTATTTCGAAAGGTAGGCGATAAGATGTCGCAGGGCAGAATTCTTCCGATCGATCTCACCGAGCTTGGGACAAACTTGTGATCTTTCACGTCGTACCACTCGCGTCGTGCAGGCTAAGTCCGGTACCACATCTTCCTGGAAGGCCTTACTGCTATTCTAATCTGCTGCATCCTGAATCATTCCAGAGCGCTCTCGCTGCAAGAAGATCCTGACAAGACGCAATCCGAGAATTGCCCTTGAATAAGTAGTGTCCTGAATGCATATGCTGATAGTGCCATCTTGTGTGTCTTGTTTTCGTTCCACCATGAAATGATCATGCTTATGAATTACACTCCGGCTCTGCCGACATATTTCGCGCCCAACACCTTCAATCCGGCTAGCTTTGCAAATCGCACATGGTAGAGTAGATGTGGGCGACAACGCGATCCGGTCGTACTAGGTACAGAGTGAGGTTCTGCATTCGAGGACAGGCGACGGTCGTGAGGTCGAGGTGTGCACTGAAATTCGCAACTTCCAAAATTCGCACGATGAGCGGTTGCGGCAGCACGCTTGCCCGTGATTTTGATTGCCCCTCGTGGTGCCAGCATCGCATCGATCCCGGAGTCCAGCAGATGAATATGATCATGGTCGGTCCAATACCGCGTCTCATCCCGCCACGCGCCTCTTCTCCAAGCCCCAGTCCACAGCGAACCAAGCTCTTGATGAAAAAAGTTCAAAGTAAATGACCTGTCAGACGACCGACAGCACCTACCTGCAGGAACCGGCCGAAGCCAGACGCTCAAGCAGGGCGAGATCATCGCCAGCAATCTGGAAAAGACCACCACATCGGCATCACTCTTAGGCGCCGCGGTTAGCACTCATCAGCCAGGTTGGAGTCTGTAGCTTCTTTGAAGAATACAGTTGTGGACGTTTACTATAGAAATGATTCCATGAAGTCTGTGGGGCGGAATGCATGCGTTAGTTGCTGATGTTGTAAAGTGTAGGGGTTGCTGGTGGTACTCACAAAGTCGACTGAAGAAAAAAGGAAGAGGAAGAGAGTGCGAAGCAAAGATATAGCAGAAATTCGAGCGGGAGCGCTAGTGGGCGGGCCGCGTTCCGCGTTTTTGCTACTTTCGTCGCTTGAAATATTGATGAGCGGAAACAGGTAAAGAAGCTCTTCACGCGCTTCGAGACTTCACTACGCGTGGAGTAGTAGTACATAAAGCTTCTCTGGCACTGCCACATGGTCTAGCAATCTTGACCCATGTCTACCTCGAGGGCTCCCAAAAGGAGAAAGCTCAATGGCCACGAAGAGCACCAGAGCTCGCCTGCGCAGGCCAGCAACTGCAGAACACCGGTAACATATGAGAAGCAGAGCGCCAAATCCTCTCCCGCGGTAAAAGCCTCTGCCTCGAAAGATGCTCCTCCCAAAAGTGGCGCCGAGATCTACTTTGAGGCGAAGATGAAGACCTGGAAGAGGAAAGCAAAGAAAGACTCCATTGATGTATACGATGATATCGAGGGCGCCAACCATGCCCCTCCCAAGTTCAAGCAGCGACCAGTGGGTGCGAGCAGACCGGGAGGATCGAGAGCAGTGTCAGCTGCAGCGGCATCATCGCCGTTGAAGAAGAACCTGGATCCCCTCAAGAACCAGAGGTCCACATCATCAGCAGGGCCAGCATCTAAGGGAAGGAACAGCAATAGCCCATTCAAGCCAGCGACGGGACGGAAGAGCACGTATGCTGCCAAAGAAGGGCCAAGGATTGCTACGCGGTTAAGACAAGGTACTACGACGGGCAAGGCATACAAGGAGCAAGATGAGGAGGAAGAGTCGGACCATGCAAGTGGGAGCGCAGATGCTAGCGAAGCTGGGCATGACCAGGTCGAGCAGAACAATGCAGGGGATGCGGGAGCAGGCGCGAGCGAGGACGAGAAAGATACCGTGGAAGTGGCTATACCTGCACCAGCGCTGGGAAGGAAACCTGCGAGCATGTCGAAGGGTTTGTTGGCTGCTGCTGCTCAGCCGAAGACCTTCGAAGACGAGATTAGAGAGATTCAAGAGAAGGCACGGAGAGAAGTCGCAGAACGAAGCGATGACGAATTGATGAGCGACGCGGTAGAGCACACCCCATCGAAGAAGACTTCATCACAGCGTAGATCATCTGCCAGATCTCGAAGTACACAGCTGGAGAAGGCGGTTCCTGCGCCTAGTCCTACCAAACCACTAGATCGGAGGAAGCGAAAGCCAGCCGGAACTGTTGACGACTTTGAAGTTCCTGAGAGTGATGTTGAGAATCGCATGGAAGTGGATGAGTCGGATGATGAAGAAGTCCAAGTCGAGCCTATCAAGCCAGTACCCCAGCCTCGCCCGAAGGCTGCTACGGCTACGACGCTAAAGAAGACGAGAGGCGCGCCGACGGCAATAAATGCGACAAAGGCTGCAGGCCCAGAATTCTCACCGGAACAGATTCGGTGCATTCAGAAAATCGTGCTGGAAAAAGCTACCAAGAAGCGACCTACGACTCTTGCCAACCTGGATGATGAGTACTCGAAAGTCTCTACGCTTATCGAGCAGACAGTGACTGCAGGCGAGAGCAACAGCATGCTCCTCATCGGCGCCAGAGGCAGTGGCAAGACAGCGCTTGTAGACCAAATTCTCCGCGAGCAAGCCGCCAAACATGCGGCAGATTTCCACGCCGTCCGCCTCAACGGCTTCATTCACACTGATGACAAGATCGCGCTTCGCGAAATCTGGAGGCAGCTTGGCAGGGAGATGGAGCTGGATGAAGACGAAGGCACTTCCAAGAATTACGCCGATACCATGACCAGATTGCTTGCGTTACTGTCACATCCTACTGAGGTAGGTTTGGAGACAGACCAGGTCAGCAAAAGTGTCATATTCGTTCTCGACGAGTTTGAGCTCTTTGCAGGTCATCCTCGGCAGACGCTGTTGTATAACTTATTCGACATTGCGCAAAGTCGGAAGGCGCCAATCGCAGTGCTGGGCCTCACCACCAGAGTTGATGTCGCCGAGAGTCTCGAAAAGCGGGTGAAGTCTCGATTCAGCCATCGATATGTACATCTGAGCATGGCAAAAAGCTTGCAAGGCTTCGAATCGATATGTCGGAGTGCGATGACAATCTCATCAGAAGACTTGACAGCTGATGAAACAGACATTCTCGACGTGTCGACAGAAGCTTTGAAGTTCCAGCCAGTCGCTGCTTGGAACGCCGTCGTGGACAAGGCCATTGCGTCCGAAGCATGCAGCTCTGTCATTCGCCGCCTATATTACACCACAAAGTCCGCGCCAGAGTTCTTCGCTACTCTTTCGCTAACGGCAGCGACCCTGCCCACCGACTCGCCGACCACAAAGGACATCTTGGAACACTTTTCGAACTCCATGTCAATAGCATCACTGCAAGCACCAGACTCAAAGCTTTCTCTACTATACTCGCTGAGCACACTACAGCTGGCTCTCACCATCTGCGCCGCTCGTCTCACAAACATCTACCATACCGAAGTCATCTCATTCGCACTTGCTTATGAAGAGTACAAAGTCTTGGCAAGCAAAGCTAGATTGCAGGCCAGTGCGAGCGGAGCAATCGCAACTACGAAAGTCTGGGGCAAAGAAGTTGCGAAAGGTGCTTGGGATCAATTGATTGATGTTGGGCTTGTCATGGAGGATGGCAGGACTGGTGGGACTGGGAGAGTTGATGTCGCTTTGGAAGAGATTGGCATGTCTGGCGTTGATCTTGGCGCTTGGGGGAGGTGGTGTAAGGAGATATGATGGAGCGTGCAAGAATGTCGTGCATACCAACATACGGAACACCAGTCGTCCGATTGATTGACGGCTTGCTATAACATCATCAACGATATTTCCACGATCCGTTAGCGTAAGCCGGTCGGACTTCAGCTACCGGTCGCCGTGAGCAAGAATCTAGCACTGCAAGAGTCCACACGCCATCCGCACTCGGCCAAATTGTGCTAGCCCTGACAGGGATGAGAATCCTTCTGCACTCTCCACAGGCTTGAATGAGGAACTTGATCTGGTAGTATACAGACTCGGCTCCAATCGTGCTGTAAAACGAAACTCTTTGTGTCTGCTCACAGAAAACTCAGTCCTGAAGCTTTTCGACACCAAGCCCTATCAATTTCCCGCAACTGGCCCAAACCAGCAGACATCATGATACGTAGGCCTTGATAGATTGCTGCTACAACTACGGATACGACAGCTTATGAATCGGACTCATAAGGCCTCACTGTACCAGATCCACCCATGGTCATTTAACAAGAACGATGTCCATTTCGCCAATTCCAGGACACAATCACAACGATCATCAACAAAAGCCCTCCAAAATGGCAGACCAGAAGATTAAAGACTTCCCGAAATCCTTCGGAGCACTCTACTTCCCAGGTTTCGAAGTCCTCGACATCGCCGCCCCCCTCGAAGCTCTAAACTGTCTCACCCGCTTCCCAGGCTTCGAAGACCTGAACCTCAGCATCATCAGCAAAACCCTCGATCCCATCTCCGTCGGCGAAAATTCCTTCATGAACGCCCAAAAATACCTCCCAACCCACACGTTTGAGACAGCGCCACAGCTCGACGTCTTACTTATCCCCGGTGGCGTCGGAGCTGCGCCCACCCCTTTCCCAGACGGAACCGATCTCTCACACATGCAAGAATATCTCGAATTCATCCGATCCACATACCACGGTTCTGGCGAGGGGGGAAAGAAGCCTTTGAAATATATCCTCAGTATCTGTAATGGCGCTGGTCTCCTCGCCGCCGCAGGGATTCTCGACGGGAAGAAAGCTACGACGAATAAGGAACTTTGGAAATTTGTTACGAAGTTGGGACCCAAGACGCATTGGGTTTCGCATGCGAGATGGGTTTGTGATGGGAATGTTTGGACTACGAGTGGGGTGAGTGCTGGGGCGGATGGGGTTTTGGCTTGGATGAGTGGGTTGTTGCCTGAGGAGAGTGTGAGGGGAGTTGTGGTGGGTATGGAGTGGATTCGTGCGAAGAATGCGGAGGATGATCCTTTTGCGGAGGGGTTGGAGGATGTGGAGCCTGTAAGGTAGGGTGGGTTGTGTTTTCTCTGTTGATCGAGTGAAGATGGCTCGGAAGAAGAGTCTCAATGGGCATTTGTGTTTAGGAGTCTTTGGGATATCCTGGTATGGAAGTATGGTTCTCTTATTAAGCATCCCAGAATCTCTTGCCTACCCACATGGAACCCTTCAAATTCCAGAGTCAGAGTCATACCGCCATGGAAAATCCACAGCGCTCTTAATGTTCGCAGACCAGATCCTGACCTATCGAATTCGTCTCCGCTCAACCCGCCGAGACACAGATGCCCACGCCCATAAGAATTTCTACCCTCGTTCCCTGCGGCTTTGGATCCAGATTCTTCTTATCAAGTTAAACTTACTGAGAGTGAGATATATCCTGAACGAAAATCAATCAATTAATCAAGAAGATTTGACCTGGCCTGGAATTTTTTTTATACTAGCCCGTATTATTTCGGGTGATGCAAAGATTTTGCTACCGTATCTTTCTCCTAAGAGGTTGAGTAAGTAGTGTAACATGTTATTGCTGCTAGATTCTGCGCTCGCTTAAATGGCCGGACGGGCGGGGTTGCGATGGAAGGTGAGGGTGAGAGGTTGAGTGATGTACTTTCTGGGAATGTGTTGATGGATGTTTGTTGGTGGAGAGGATGTTATGATGGGTGATGATATGATTGATTTGAAGGACTTTTGGGCTGGGAGGGAGAATAGTGATGAGAAGAGGGCTAGGATGAGTCAGGTCGTGGGATTGAGGTGAGAAGGGATTGGGATTAGACCGGACTTTGAGTTGGTGAATGGGGTTGGACATGAGTGTGCTGGTCTTTTGCCTGTGATCTTGAAAAGGTCAGAGGAAGTATTGATGCTCTTTGACATATGCCCTGAATTCATGTGCTTGGCTGACTTTCTCCTGTAGCATGCTCCATCAATAGATTGTATGGACTTGAGACACGTTTGGAGCCAGTGCTTGCAATGGATATTGCCCGTCCATCCTCTGTCTGTTAAGACGCAGTATTTGCACCTCGCAGCAAGGCTATCACACCCATGATCAGCAAAATCCGGGTTCACACGGAGGTGCTGGAACCGTCGGCCAAAAGCTGTAAACACCGTTCTGATGATATGTGTATGTCGTGGTGGAAGTGGTGGTGGAAGTGGTGGAAGTGGTGGTGGTTGGGAAGAAGGCTACACAACGTTAACAAGTAGTCTCCTCATGCGCTAGTAGACATACTCCTCATGTAGACATCTTTCTGCATTCCAGCTACTCTTGTAGAGTCCAGCTGGTTGGTGTTCGTTGTGGTAAAAGTCATGCCTCTATTATCGGTTTTGTAAGTACATCGACCTGAACCTGCAGCATTTTGCATGCCATACAGTGCCCCTCCGTTGTACGAGAGACCAGTGCAATTATTTGAAGTATCGCACTCTGGCATGCATGAGGACCAGCTGGGTGCCTGGTAGTTCCAGTTGATATTTCCTGAGACAGCTCCGCCACATATGTATAAGTATTGGATTCCATTAGGCGAGTAGACAACATTCATGTTTCGAGATATGCTTGAGCATTGCTGGCCGTTGGTAGCATATGGAACAGTGGTGTAGCCATCGGTGCCCACGAAAGATCTCGTCACGGTCTGCTGATAGCTTGTGGTTCCCTGAACGGCTTGCCTCCTGCTGAGTCTTGCGTCTTGCCATCGCTGCGCCCCAGCTGTGATTCGCGGTTCGTTGAAGTCGAAATTCTCTAAGATGTAGTCTTCGTACTGAGCTTGCCACTCGGGTTTGTCGTCCTTCGCAAGGATCGGTAGAGTCAGAACGCATAGAAGCAGAATGAGAGTATTGCACACCCAGGCTATGTACATTATGTTGCGAGGTCATCATTGCATTGCGGATCTCTCGTGTGCAGTGAGAGGAATCCGTTGGCAATCAATACGATCGGCACTGTGGCGAAGGAACCGCATCTCAGGAAGGGGCTTCAAACATAGCTGAGTCTATTGCGCGTCCAATTGTTCGATTTGCAACCTGGAATGCCATGTCCACTTGAAAGCTTCATCTGCTGAGCACTTATACAGCTTTTGGTTGGTTCCTCGGAGCTGTAAGATCTTGTGCCACATTCCAAAAGGCATTGTTCTGCCGTGTTATGTGGATGGATGGGGTAAGCATCTCGGCCCCTCGCATTATGAGCCGGTATTTGCGGATCTTCAGGTCATTTTGCGTGTTGAGATGCCTTTACTTCTGCCAGCTGCATTTCTCGGCCAAGGTCTTCGTCGATCGTTCTTACGGCTGTGTTGTGCTGTCCGCCCCGTTACGCGCATTCCGAGACTGTCTTATACCGACCATGGGAAAAGAGAGGTTGCTTTGGTGCCTCGTGTCTTCAATGTTGAGCCAGAACAACGAGTTGCTTGATTTCAAAGCTCCGTCAGATGAAGCAAGCAAGCCGGTCTGAAGATATTGATCCATCAAGCATTAGTCTCTTAAGGACTGGAAACTGACTTGCGACCGATGCATAAATTTTCGAAGGAGGACTCTATCCGCAACGTGTGATGCGCCGGATTCGTGCTATGGAAGCCCGCGCGATCGGTGAGCACAGTCACGAAGAAGCTTCGTCGCCTTCGGAGTCGCGTTTCTCAGCATTAATGGCTGCATCGCCAAATATATGCTCCTCGACCCATATTTGGGTGTAGCTCAATTCTTCGTGCTGGAAAGAGCATTCCCATACACGATCCGGCTTGCCAGGTGTGTGCCGTGGAATTCCAGGAGAAATGGAAGGCGGGTCGTATGGCTCCACATCTTTGTATTTTCAGACTTTGAATCAATGCATATTGAGATTTTCCTAACACTCACCACAATGAGAAGCACACGACTTTCTGAATGCTTTTTCTGCTGCCGCTTCAGTCTTGAAGACACCTTCAATTGCCACTTCAGGCTCATCCCAGTGCTTTGCCGAGGATTTGTAGACCAGCACGTAGACTCTTGAATCCTGATCGCCAGTTTGGTCATCCTGAGCGGCCGATTGAGTTTTCTGCGCAGCATCTCTTCGCTCTCCATCTGCACTGTTGGTTTTTGTGTAAGGACTTTTCTCTGTCAAATGTGCAATACTGATTCGAGACCTTTTCGTTGGTGTGTCTAGATAATCAACAGCTTCCGTCTTTCGCTTCGGCATGGTCGATTCTCAGTCGTTGTTTAAAGTTGGTCTTGTCTGGAATAGTCTTGACTTGAAAGTTGAAACACTGGTTTGAAAGATGCCAACTTCAAGATCGACGCGAAAACGCGTACCCATGTTCATAAATATTCGGATGGCCGCGGCCCGGTGCTCTAATGGTTGAATAACGGGATCGACAGGCGGTGTTCGCGAGAAACGTGGTAGAAAATCGCTTGTTCGACGTGTATACGTCAAGACGCAAAAGGAGTATAGGTCATGTTGAATGACAGCATTGGAGTGACGAGGGATATATGTGCCTGGACAAAAAGAACGCATCCCATTGGCAAGTCTCAGTCGCAACTGAACCTGACCCTTGATGAACTTGTTAGGAGTTGTTATCAATCACGAGAGTGCAGTGCGAGACATACGATTTGAACGGATGACCTTCTAGAATCTCCAGAGAAGACTGGAATCACATGCGCTACCGCTATACAGAAGTCAGACCACAATAATTGGCAGCTTTAGAGAAGTAATTTTTACCTACGCTATAGGTCCGATAACAATTTGTTACGGAAGTATAAAGCGGGGATAGTTTCTTACTGCATATATAAGCTCACCTTTAACTTATCGTAGAACACTTAGACTGCTTTATAGCTGCTAACATTATCTATAGAGGCTTCCCGAGATATCTTAAATATAATCTATCTCGTATATAGCGTTCGAGGTTACTAGTAGTAAAAGGAAGATCGAAGTCTTAAAGGCGGTATTTTTAAATCTTAGAACTTGAATTCTACCTCCTTCTTAGCCGCTCCGTAGTGCCTTAGGTTAGCTTTGCTAAGGCTCTAGCGGAGCGCCTAACGACAAACTCTATAAATCTATTACTAGATCGATATTATATAGATATATAGAATATAATAGCAACGCAACTACGTATATTTTGTATAAGTAATAAAATTAAACGACCTAGCGACAAGCGCAAAGTTTTAAATGCGCTAGTTTAAATATAATATACTCTTTATTCTAGCACTTAAGAAATTGCGCCGTGTTTTTAGGAAGCATTAGTATATCGTAAAAGCTAGAGTAGTCTACGAAGTAGTATATAACAAGATAGCTATAAACCTATTTCTACTATTCTAAATATATAGTATTTACCTTCTTTGCACCGTAAAACTCCTCTAAGTGTTGCCTTAGATATTAAAGTAACGTATTACTAGGTTTTGGCCTCCCGCGCTATAAACGCGCTTCTACCGCAAACTTAAGCTTTAGTCGCCCGCGTAACTAACTCGATACTACTTAGTACTCGCAACTACTTCTAACTGCTTCTTCTTGTTAAAAAGAATAATCTAGAGTATTATAGAAGTCTTACGCGCCTTCGGAAACATATCCTTTATACTAGATTCTCTATATAACCCTAAAGCTATTTATTGCGATTACGACCCTTATATAAACTACAACTCGTCGGGTTACAAGAATGCCTAGTACTACGAAGTCGTAGCGTAGCGTAGCGTATAACAACCGAGGCGGAGGTAGAGGTAGAAGCGTAGGAGGAATAGGTAGAGGTCGAGGTCGGCCTCGAAGAGATACTACTACTACTAGCGCTAACCCGGCTCGACTGCCTGCTAGTATAATAGCAATATCGTATCGCGCGCGTCTAGAAGGTATCGAAGTAGTAGTACCGCTATCCGACGACGAGGCAGATTATATATAGCACTTTACCGATAGATATAATAATATCCCGACTATATCGCTATAGTAGCTATAATAGCTTATATACGATGCTATATAATGCCTATAGTCGGTCGATGTTTACCGCGATATTGTCGAGGCTAGATTAACTAGAGTATTAAAGTAGATATATCTAGAGTACGACTACTCGCCGCGCGATATCTAGGTAGACGGTATTAACGCGCTCTCCTTCGGATAGTTAGATACGGTAATCGTAGTACGTACTAGCGAAGGTAAGAGTATTATCTTCTAGTCTTTCTCCCTCCTAACTAGCTAGACAACTATTATTATTAGCCTACTTATCCGTCTCGAGGAGGAGTAGAACGAGGCGGTCGTATATCTAAATAGGGACATTAAGCTAGTATAGTCGATAGTTATTAATACCGAGACTAAGAAGCTAGATCTAGAGTAGTATAAGAAGATTAAGAAGGGCGAGGTTTAGTATATTATTATAGGCCTAGAGCAAGTAGTACTACTAGAATTTCGCGACTTGCTAGCTAAGCCGTATATACGTCGTCGTATCGGACTAGTCGCGATCGATAAGGTTTATCTTATCGAGAAATAGAAGAACTTCCGCGAGGCCTTTATAGCAATTAACTAGCTACGCTTAATCGTGCGTCGCGACATTGTCTAGCTAGGAGTCTCTATAACTCTATCTATCGAAGCCGGTACCTAGTAGAGTATCCTAGAGAAAGCCGGTTTCCGCGAAGTCGGACTAGGTCTATATATAACGAAGATCCTCCGTAGTAGCATTAATCGCCTAGATATTATATATATCGTTAGGCCGATCCCTTTTAAGAATCGCGGTAACTATAAGAGTCTATTCTTCGCTATTACGCGTAGCGTAACTAACGGAGAGGCGATACCTATAAACATCGATAAGACTATTATCTTCTAAGACGCACATATACTAGTATAGGATATAGTTAAATTCCTCCGTAACTGCCTAGTATATTTAACTAAGGACTGCCTAGACTAGGGCAAGAAGTACTCCTACGATCCTATCGTTAATAGCGGTAGTATCGATGTCCGTATTACTATCTCCTTCTATACTTCCTATATCGTAGAGGTAGATTAAAAGGAGCGATATAATATCTTTAGTAAGCGTAGTAGACTAATCCGGGTTATAGCGAGTACTCTAGCACTAAGTATCGGCTTAAATATACTAGACATTAAGATCGCAGTCTAGTTTAAGTTCCCTATCTCGAAGGATCTCGAAGATAGTATATAGCGCGTTAGTCGCGGCGGTCGTAATATTGCTAGGCAGGTATACGGCATCTTTCTACTACTATACTAGGTTTTTAACGATTAGAAAGATGCTACTATAGGAATAGTATCGGTAGCTACGATATCGATCTAGACTCGAGCCTAAACTAATATACTAGTACGTCTAAGCCGCCTAAGACTAATGCAGATAGCCGGTAAAAGCGAGGAAGATAATAACGATAACTTTCCCGACGCTAGAGAGTCCCTCGATACTACCGATAAAGAGTTTGCTATAGCTAGCTAGAAGAAGTCGTCTACTTAGAACAAAGACGAGCTTAAGCGACGCGAGAACGTACCTATTATCTAGCGCAGCGTTTTTAACTCGTACTTACTACCGCCGCTATCTAACCGCTGCCCTCGAAAGGTAATTAATACCTACCTAGGCGAAGATAAGCGTATATACGAGTTATTAACCGTTACGCTAGAGGGATAGTATTACAATATCTGTAACTCGGAAGTATACGACCCGCTCGAGATAGATACCGAAGCTCCTCTAGTTCTTATTATAAAGGTCGCTCCTCCGCGGAAGGGCACTCGCGCTAGGTATATATTACTACTAGTATAGGAGTAGATATCGGTATAGGCAGACAAGATGTTTCCTAATACTAATCGACGCTTCCGTATTACTATAAGCTTCTTTATACTAGACAAGCTTATCTTCGGTATCTATAATATCTTTATCTCCGTAGATTCCGCTAAAGCTTAGAGAGAGGGTAAAGACTTAAAAGTTAAGGATCTCTATAGTATCGCGCCTAGTCTAGATAAGTAGAATAATCCTAATATCGATAGGTTCCGGTAGGACCGTCTAGCTTAGCTAGAGAATTTAGTCGGGGAGTTAAATCGCATAGCTCTAGATATATACGCCGTATAGGAGGAGGCTAAGAAGAAGAAGGCCGAGAGCGGCAAGTCCGAGAAGTCTCGGGGCAAGTAGGCTATACGAGGTACTAAAAATAGCGGTAATATAGCAACTGCTAATACTAGTACTCTAACCGGAGAAGGCTAGCGACTAGGAGACTAAACCTAGCAGATTGATCTAGACCGGCTATATATACAACGCTTACGCTTATAGCAATAAGCCGATAGCTAGGCCGCGATACGTAAAGCTATTAAGAAGTCCGCTTAGGCTGAATCTACTCGTAAGCTTGCGATCGCTAATAAAGCCCGATAAGCTCGAGAGAGAGAGACTACCGCTACCGCTACCGCTATAGAAGAAGTAGACACTTTAGTAAATACTAGGAGCACTCGTAACCGCCCTACTCGTCTAACCGCGTCTACTTCTATTAGAGATAAGCGCTATATATCTCCTACTACGTAGCAACGCTATATATAGACCCTACTACGTCCTTTAGAAGCGACTCTTCGTGCTACTAAGCAGTCTAAACATCTCCTTAATGCTACTAGTTTAACGACTCGTAGTAGTCGTAAGTATAGACTAACTAAGCGCGGAGAGGGCTTATATAGCATAACGAGTAGTAGCCGTATAGGAAGTCGTATAGGTAGTAAAGAGGGTAGCCGTAGTCGTCGAGCATAGATAAGACTCTATCGTCGTCGCTGCTAGGACTTTATTACGGTAAGCTTCCTCGCGATAGGAGAGGCTAAGTATCTATTATAGGAGGACTAAGTTATACTCTCTATATATTAGAAGCGTAGGTAGATATATAAAAGAAGTCGTCTTATCGTTACTATCTATCTTATCTCTATTTTAGTACGCTTTTAGTACTAGACACTCGGAGAAGGTTCTCTATACCTAAGGACTCTATCGTTATCGTATTAGTTACTTTTGCTAGTGCCGTTACTAGAAATATGCTTAATCGACGTATCTCGCTAAGTTAGGTATCGTACTATCGTAAAAATCGAATATTGTGATATAGAGTCGTAAAGCTAGTATTAAGGAAGCAGTTACGACGTTTAATCCCGCTAATTAAGCGCTCTACTATAGTAAATCCGGGGTCTTAGCGGGATTCGGCATCCTTATCCTTTCCTCGAGTTTACGCTATATCCTCCTCTATATTACTACAATATCTAGAATA